CTGGACTTCACTAGCTATTGACATTTGTTCAGTAGTTGACAGTGCCAAGGCTGTTTGTCAGTCTCGGCATTTTCTTAGGTTGTGGTCTCTGTCAAGGCACAGTTAAGGGGGGCAAAGTTAGGCACCAGTTGTATCTTTCCCTTATCCGGAGATTTGCTAGAAGGCCCAGCTGACTTAGGTTTAAACCCTAGTACCTGAAGATGAGTGTTATGGTCAACTAATTGAATAGAAATGTGGGGACTGAGTACTATATTTAATGAGTGTTTAGAGTGCTCAGTCTCTACTGTTTTAGTGACATTAGTGGAGAAGCTGAGAAAGGAAAAGTCAGTTTAAAAAAACTGTGGTTCCTCCTTCAAACAGCCACATTCATTCTTGATGTCTTCTATAAACAATTCTGTATGATCCAAGACAGCACTTGTGATGGTTAATGTTAACTGTTACCCTGACAGAATTTAGAATCATCTGGGAGGTGGATTTCTGGGCATACAGTCTAGGAATTACTTTTATTATGTTAACTGATGTGGGAAAACCCTTCTTGTTGTGGTGGGATTACTTTTTGGGCAGGGGATCCTGGACTATATAAAACAGAGAAGAGATGAACACAAACAAGTTTTTATTTATCCTTCTCTTTTTCCCAGTTGTGGATATGGTATGACATCAAACTTCTGCTACTGTGAGTTCACCACCATAATGGACTATATCATAAATTAGAACTAAAATAGACCCTTTCTCACTTAGGTTGCTTTTGCCATCATATTTTATTACAGGAAACAAACCAAGACAACACCCATACGTTCAGGTATGGGGGGAAGGGGATAGGGATTAAAGAGAAGCCCAAAAGCTTAGAATTGGAGAGTAATGCCCTACTAATTTTTTAATATAAATTTTTATTTAAATTAAAAACAATCTAATTTAAAACCTACTGATTAAAATGAAGAAAACCCAAAGGAGTACATGATTAGTGTTACTTACTCTATTCTCTGCTATCAGATAGAAGGGCAGGGCATGGTGGTTGTGCTCATACACTTTTTGTCAAATTGACAAGCTAGGGTCACCTGTGAAGAGAAAATTTCAATGGAGAAAATGCTTCTGTTAGATTGGCCTGTATGTAAGCCCGTGGGGGCATTTTTCTTGATTAATGATCGATATGGGAGGGTCAGGACCACTTTGAGTGCTGCCATCCCTGGGCACATAGGCTTGGGTATAAGAAAGCAGGCTGAGCAAGTCATGGGAAGCAAGCCAGTCAGAATATTTCTCCATGCCTTCTGCTTCAGTTCCTGTCTTAACTTCTCTTCACAATGGATGACAACTAGAAGCTGAAACAAACCATTTCTTCTTCAGCTTGCTTTTGGTCATGGTATTTATGAAAACAATAGGAATAAAACTAAGACAGTAATATACACCTGTAGTCTCAACATTTGAGAGGCTGAGGCAGGAGACTCAGGAGGTAAAGACCTCCTCAGCTACATAGGGTATTCAAACTCTACTTGGACTATGTGAGACCCTCCAATGGCACCCCCCCACACACAAAATAAAGTGAAGGACATTGGTGCAGCTGAATATCTAGTTGGTTAAATGTGTGGCAATGGTATTTTTGAACTGGGAAAACTTACTTTATCTGTTTTGGTGCCATAGTTTCCTATTCCCTTTGTTTATGTTTTTCTCTGACATTAGGGGCCATTCTGAGTGACCACCATCATCTCAATCACCTTGAAATGTGTCTGTCTGTAGGTCTGGCTTCCTAATGGGAAAATTACCTAGTTATTAAGGTATTAAGTGAAATTGGTTTCATAGTGATTTAGTAAATTAATTGCAGTATAAGCATAAAAGTGAACCCCCTAGTTATTGATTTTATTCTTACTACTTTTTCTTTGGGACAAAACATATTGAAAAATGGCAGCAAGGAAATCCTTTCTCAGTGTCATTTGACAACTTTAGCATCCTCACACTTCCAGGTACTCTTTGCTTGGTGACCCTCTGTTTTTGGCTAGCTTTTGTTCATCCATTAAGATACTGGATAGCATTTCCTCCCCTAAGTTATGGAGTCAGTCTCCATCACATTCCAGAGAGAACCCCATATGATAGTCCAAAGTATGGGCCCTAGTAAGACTGTGGTTTCCTGCAATGATGGACTGAGACTCTCTGAAATCAAGAGTTAGTGTTAAGTCTTTCCTCACTTATTCTGTTCCTGTCAGGCACTGTGGTTACATTGATGCAAAAGTTACTAATACTATGCCCCTCACTTAAAAAAATATAAGTCTCTCTAAGCTGTCTCCAGCTGACATCCTCTTGCAAAGAAAAGGATGAGTTTTCTCCAATGGAATCTCACTGGGCCTATTAACCACACTTAAGGGCAGTAGATGGCTATCACAAAACAAACTCTGTGGTATTTTTATAGACTTTTTGTCTCATGTTGCTTTGTTTGGACCTTTTTTTTTCTTACTGGTTTTTCCTCTATGTATCATGACTTCCAATTTTGTTTTTTTATGGGTTTTGTTTGTGTATGTGTGTTTCTTGTGTTTTCTCTCTCTCTCTCTTTTATTTGGTGTCTCTTATCTAAAGAGAAAAAGAAAATGTGTGAAGCAGATTGGAAGAAGAGGTGAGGAGCATCTGGGAGGAGTTCGGGAGCATCTGTCTCTTTGTCTCTCTGTGTGTGTCTGTGTCTGTCTCTGTGTCTTTTTCTGTCTCTTTGTCTTTCTGACTTTCTGCCTCTGTCTCTCTAATGCAAAGCTGGTATCTTCCTATGGCTGCGAGGAAAGTGATGCAATGTGCTACCAATTAACAAGGAAAACTCTTCAGTGATCAGAATATATTGCATTAAAGAAGTTTGTTTTTCAACAAACAAGCAAACAAACAAACACCTCTAAGACCAGATGTCTGGTAAATGACAGCCATGGATTATGGTTAAGGTGAATTGTCCAGTTCAATCATGTTCACTTAATCATTTTTCACCACAGCTGAAGGTGAAATCTTCTGGCGTGTTCTTGACACAGTGCTTGCTTTCTCTTCTATTTGCCTCTTTTCTCTAGCAGCACCCATAGTTAATTGCCCTTTGCATGTGGTTGGCTTAAGAACTCAGAATTTGATTTTTGATGCTTGAGGTGGTGGGCTACACTGTGGTTTTTATGTTTGCAAAAATGATTCCAACAATTAGGTTCTGTGTAGCATGTTTTGCTTGCGGTGTCTATGTGCACTACACAAGTGCCTGGTGCCTGCGGAAACCAGAAAGATACATCAGACTCCCTGGGGACCGGAGTTACAGATGGTTGTTAGCTACCATGTGGGTGCTTAGGAATTGAACTCCGGTCCCTTGGAAGAGCAGGCAGTCCTCTTAACCATTGAGCTGTCTCTCCAGCTCTTGGTTTGCAAAACTCTTCCATGCTTTTATGAATCAGGTAAATTAAGAAGTCAACAGGTTAAGGCAGAAGATGCTTCCACCGTCCATGATTCTGGAATTCTTTGTGCATAACAGACATCAGCAATGTACTTCCTCTCCCTGTTTGCAGAGCATAGTGGGTAGTGGTGATGCATCCTCTGATAAGGAAATTAAGGACACACATTCTTCTTTCTTAGAATCAAATTCAAGTGACTTTTAATTCCAAAGGCCATTATGCCACCTATTTCAAAAAGCGATATATTATTTGTAGTTGACTGACTCTGGGCAAAGCTACAGAGTATTTTGTGGTAATTGTGCTACCTAGAGGGATGGAATTGCTGTGGGGTCTGATAAAATGGCTACTTCTTTTTCCTTGGAGGATTGCAAAAATATAAAAAGAAAATCATTGTGGTTTGGAAAAATCTTTTTCTGCTTTATTATTCAGAAGGCAGCGCTGTTAGCTTCTTTGGTGGGAATGTTTCCCAGGGATAGGTCTTAATTATTGATGGCCAAGTACTCATTGCTTAATGGAATCTGAACTTTGAGGGGAAACAGGAGAGAGTTTTCCTTGTTAATTGGTAGCACATTGCATCGCTTTCCTCATAGCCATAGGAAGATACCAGGTTTGCATTACAGAGACAGAGGCAGAGAGTCAGAGAGACAGAGAAAGAGACAGAAAAAGACAGAGAGACAGACACAGACACAGAGAGAGACAGAGAAAGAGAGACACAGAGAGAATATGAGTGCACAGAGTAGATAGGAGATTATAAATTGACTTCATGTCAGGGATTACATGACTTTCCTGGTTTTGATTAGAATATTATGTTCTTGACTCTTGCATGTGTGAGAATGTGACACAGAGGAACATTATTGTGAGACAGCCATCATGCTCCCCCTCTGTGAAGATGCTTCTACCACGGGAGAGGACCATTCTTTTTGCTGGATCCATGGCCTGGAAAACTGACCAATTCTCTGTAATATGAAGACTGTAGAGATGGGAGGACTGAGGAGCAGTGTTTAGAGGCAAAGTGTAAGACTATGAAGAGATCAATGCAATTCCTTTGGAATATCAAGACTAATTTTAAGGGTTGAAACGACTAACAAGTGACAAAGTCTTAGTGGTAGGGTGAAGTAGGGAGTAACAGGAGGCATAAATAAGAAGTGTATATGGAGCTGGAGAGATGGCTCAGCGGTTAAGAGCACTGACTGTTCTTCCAGAGGTCCTGAGTTCAATTCCCGGCAACCATATGGTGGCTCACAACCACCTTGAATGAGATCCGGTACCTTCTGCTGGCTTGCAGACAAAAGGCTGTATGCACAATAAATAAAAAGAAAAAACTGTATGCATAGTAAATAATTAAAAAAAAGAAGTGTATATGTACATGAAAATCATAGTGAAATTCATTGTTAGAATAAATACATGGCAATGAAGCATTTAAGAAGTCTAAAAACATGGGTGTCTAACATGGAATTTGAAGTTGTTTATATTGTTTCTCTCTGTATTTTTGTAGACGCATTCTTTGTGCAAGTCAGGTTTTGCTGAAGTACTTTTCACAATGGTCGCCCCACCCCACTCCAGTCTCTGTGACTTACAACAACAAACATTTGCTTATTTTCTTCACAGGTCAGTGCCGTTGACTACAGCAGCTGTGCTCCAGGCTGTAGATGTTCAAGTTTGTTCTGCTGATTTTCCTTCTGTGACTTGGGTGAAGGAGCAGTGGCTACCTCAGGCCAGGATTTCTCAAGAAGCAAGTCAGACACACACAAGCAGCCACAAAAGACTAGGCAAGCACATTTAAATATAGGCCTCAAAGGTATGTTAGATAGAGTCTTCTCACAATCTCAGTAGCCAAGCTCCTCATTCAGGTGGGAGAAGTCTTTTGTTGCAGGGAGGGGTGGAGCAAATCCTGAATCCCAGAATATTTGCTCAACTACAATGCAATCAGTCTTCTCTAATCTGCAAGGAGCATGTATATATTCATGGACATATACATACAGGTGCCATCTTAGTTTAAGAATTGTAGTTCATTGTTACTGTAAATTAGGGCAATACACCTGAGAGAGGCGGTTCATGAACTCAGCCTATTATATGAGCACAGGGTCCTGAAGTCACATAACAGTTAAAATGGAATTCTCCCACATACTGTAATTTCCAAAATAATTCATCTCCTCCCCCATCTCTGGAAAAGGCAAAGAGGAGCTAAGGGAATTTAGTTATTTGAAATCCACCCAGAACATTAAGGTCAATCCTATGTTTTTCTAAAGGGTCATTACTTAACTCTGCATTTACATATGAGCTTTGAGTAGAATTGACCCTGCTTACAGGCAACCGATCCATATTCTCGAGTCTTACTTATCTCACTTCGTAGAAGAGAAACCACATCTGATTGACTTCTAGAGCATCACACCTGCTAAAGCTCTTAGGTGAAGCAACACTGACCTCGGCCTTTCGCATCACCTCTGCCTCCATAAAGAAATCAGGCAGTGGAAGGGAGAGAGCCTTCTATTGCCAAAGGCTGTCAACCGTTGAACCAGAAAGTTCAGTGCCCATTTCCTACATTTTAAAAATAGACTCCATTAGGGAAACTCAAAAGCACACATAAAAGCAACAACCCCAAGCCCGGTGTATACCTCAGCTTTCCTCCAGCTTGCAGATGCCTCTCAAACCCAAGGTGCTTCCCTCTCAGATCTGAATGTTTGCAAACTGCTGGCTTTTAGCAGGTGCAGCAGCCACAGTCAATTTTAAATGAGTCTGCCATTCTCCTCATTTATTTTCCTCAAACAGAAGTTTTATTTCCTCTCCGGCTTCTTTTTCTTTTTCATAGAAGCCTTTACTGGAGGGCCAGTTTTGTTTTTTTGTTTGTTTATTTGTTTTTGTTCTCTATATCATGAGGTATTTTTAAGGGAAGGCAAGATGAAGTTGAGGGAATTAGGTGAATGCATTGCAGTGATGGATGACACCCACCTGCCAGGGCCTCACTCAGCTCTGTGTGGCTTCATTATTATTTCCAATCTTGTCTTCATTCCATTTTAAATTTTTTTGCTGAGTGATTTTTGTTTTTCAGATTCTATTTTAATGATAACATTTCTGCCTTCCCTTTTGTCCCTAAACTTTCCATAGACCCTTCCCTGCTCTCCTTAAAATTCATGGTCTATTTTTTCACCATTTGTGTTGCAGGCATATATGCATTCATATATGTATACATATTCCTAAATATAACCTATGGGGTCCTATTGAGCCCCTTGTATATGTGTTTTCTGGACTGATCATTTGGTACTGAACAACCAGTTGGTGCTTTTTTCCCCGGGAAGAGCCACTTCTTCCCACACCCGGCTTTATTCAGTTGCCGGTGGTTCTTTGTGTAGGATTGAGTCTTGTGTGTTTTCCCCTGATCCAGTTTGGCATGCTTGTTGGTGTGCTTCTTGTTCAGCTCCCATCTGGGTGGTCTTATAGCTAAGACTTGATGGGTCATAGCTTCTGCTGCTACAAAGACACAATCTTATAGCTAAGCCCCTCTTCCTCTGGCTCTTATACTCTTTCTGCCCCATCTTCTGCACTGTTCCCTGAACCTCAGGTGTGTGTTTTGTAGGTTTTTTTTTTTATTTATTACATTAATTTTAAAAAGCTTGCTTCACATGTCAATCCCAGTTCCCTCTCCCTTCCCTCCTCCCGCACTCTGCCCCCCCCACCATTCACCCCAGCCTCCCACCCTACCACCACTTCCTTCCACATAGGGGATATCCAGAGTCTGTCATTTCACTCAGGGCAGGGTCCAAGCACTCCCCTAAGAGTCCAGACTGAAAGAGCATCCCTCTTTGTGTTATGGACACACGAAGTCTGTTTGTATGCCAGGGATAAACACTGATCCACAGCCCAGGGCCCCATAGGTTGCCCAGGCCTCCTCACTGACACTCACACTCAGGGGGTCTGGATCAGTCCCATGCTGGCCTCCCAGCTGTCGGTCTGGGGTCCAAGAGCTCCCCCTTGTTCAGATCAGCTGTCTCTGCTGGTTTTGCCAGCCCATTCTTTGCTAATTTGCTCATCGCTCCTCTCTCTCTGTGACTGGGTTCCATGGGTTCAGTTCAGTGTTTAACTGTGGGTGTTTGCCTCTGCTTCCATCAGTCACTGGATGAAGGTTTTAGGATGGCATATAGGGTAGACATCAAGTTCATTATCAGGAATGGGCATTTAAGGTGGCTTAACTTGCCAGTTGGTGTCATCCCTTTAGATCACTAGAGGTCTCACTGGTGCCAGATCTGTCTTCTAACCTATGACTCCCTCTTTTATGGCATTTCTCATCCTGATCTCCCCCATTTTACCCCCCACTCAACCTTCCTATTCCCCCATGACCTACTCTCTCTTCCTTTTCTCCCCTTCTCTTCTTCCCAGCTCCCACCCCCACCCCTTCCCAATCTGTTCAGAAGATCTTGCTTCATTCCTCTTCTCTGGGGTACCATGCATATCTCTCTTAGGTTCTTTCCTGTTCCCCAGACTCTCTGTCAGTGGAAGTGCAGACTGGCACTATCCTGATCCATGTCTAAAATCCATATATGAGTGAGTACATACCATGTTTGTCTTTTTGTGACTGGGTTACTGTTAAGAGAAGCTTTTTCTTTGAGAGGGGCCGTCCCGCCAGCCGCCTGGGCTCTGCCGTGCCAGCCTGGTTCTAGAGCCCCGCATCAGTCCCAAATAAACACACAGGAGGCTATATTAATTATGAAGCTGTTGGCCTTGTTTGTCTCTTACTGGCTAGCTCTGCCTTAAGTAATTACCCCATAATTGTTAATCTAAGTATGTTTCTTACCGGAGAATAGTTCCCAGCGTCCTACCCCCATGGCGTCACATGTTGACTCTCTTGTGTTTCCCCTTCCCAGAATCCTCCTTGACTCCTAGTCCCTCCTATCTAGGTTTTCTATTGGCCAGACAGTCTTTATTGACAAATGCACAGGACTTCCCCCAACAGGTTACCTCACCCAGGATGGTTTCTTCTAGTGCTATCCATTTACCTGTGAATTTCAAGATTCCATTGTTTTTATTTTTAATTGGGACTGGACTCCACAACTTGGCATCTTGCCATTTTCCCTTCTTACTGCTGTTTTTTTTTTCCTGGAGGAGTCAGTGGGCTGAGTGATAGTTCATTCATCTTGTCATCATCTGTTGTTCTTGCCCTCCTCCCCCCACAGCTGGCTTCTCTGAACCTCACTGCTCTGTTAGAGAAGAATCTACTTTCTTCTGTTACTTTCCCAAAAGCCAGTTGTGAACTAAGGGAAAGCAGTGTACTGAGTTCTTGTCTGTTAGCACTGAATTAAGTAACAAGTAAATTATTCTCACCAACTAGTTAATGTTAAAATTTGAGGGCTCCTTGTTTCTAGGAGTTCAGAGTTTTAGAGCCACAGATACCTTGTCTTCCAACCTTCTTGTTTTATAGATGGAGTTCCAGAGAAGTTGAAAGCTTTCCCAAGGTCGGACACTTTATTGGTAGCACTGGGACTAGGGCCCAGTTGTTCTAGTTCTATTCTTTTGGTTACATTTGATTTAATTCCAGAATCTTGATGACAATTAAAGGCACAGACATATTAAAGTTAATCATTAACCTCTAAGGCAGCAGATTGAGTTTTAATAGAGAGAACACTAAAATTCTCAGTAGGGATAATAAGGAAGCAACTGGGAGGGAATAAAACTGCTCAAGAATAAAACAACTTCCAGACTTTTCAGTTTTGGTGGAAATATACCTAACAAGAAAGTTTATTCCAAGGCATGCAAATTTAAAGAAAAGAGTTTGGCAGAAAAGCAGAGAATGATAGTTCAGCCAACCTGGAGATTTTCTTCCAGTGTCATTCTGGGAGACTCCGGAACAAAGAACAACAATGTCACTAACCAAAGAAGGAGGGATTTACAAGGGTTCTTTGTCTTTATACTTAGAATGTATTTTTTTCTTCTGGGTATGTAAATATGATTGTGCATGTGAAAATTTATTGTAAAACAACACTGGTTTCTGGCTTTATTCCCATAGCAATCACACAGTGTGTAGCACCAGTTTCCAAATAAGCCGCAGTACCGTGCAGATGTTTCTAACTTGCTTGACCGTGCAGATGCTTCTAACTTGCTTGACCGTGCAGGTGCTTCTAACTTGCTTGACCGTGCAGATGCTTCTAACTTGCTTGATGTGCTCAGCTCTGCAACCTTCTGTGTTTTTCAGGAGCCTTTCTTCTCTTCCACCACAGCTTATGGGGGGGCGGGGAGAAAAGGCCACGCAGAACCAGTTTTGTTATTCTTCATTCTCTTGCATCACTTCCTATTCAGGAGTTAGGCTGGGAATAAAAGTTGTGGACAAGGTGATAAGAGTGGAGTGGAGAGTCATGGGGATATTCTTTGGGGGAGAAGCTGTCCTCATCCTCAATAAGGAATGTATTTAAAATGAAGCAGTGGAATTGATGGGAGAGAGCCAGGCAGCATTAGCAGTCACAGGTCTAGAGCTGATGGATGTTGCTGGACCAACATGTGGCTACGTTGGCTGTCCTCTATAGCCCCAGGATTTGGGGGGTAAGATGCCCAAATGTTGAACTTTCATAGAAGTTTGTTCCTTGTACCATCCCACTCACCCCTCCCTCATGCCAAGCCTTTATTTTTTCCTTCTTCCCTTTTATTATCTCTAAGATTGGCAGGTGTGTCCCGAATACTTAATAGCCTATTCTGTTCTTACTTTAAAATAGTATTAAATTAAGAATGTAGCAATGATGCTAGTATTATCTATCTCTTATTGACCATATTTCTAAAGTCTTTGCATGCCTCTAATCCCTTCTCCCAAATGAC